TATATATATATTTATTTATTTATTTATATGCTGTATTATTATAAATTGTAATAAAACTAAACAAAACAAGTAAACCCTCTGGAATAATAATTCCCGTACTGGCAACCTTAATGGTAATTCTCAGAGCTCGAGCTAAAGAGATGCGGTACCTACTGTTTTATTAGTAGCTCCCGACCCTACGGGATAAATTTACTGATTAATTTTTAACATTTCTGTTATTGTTTATTCTTATTTGACCTAAATGCAAACTTTGAGTAAACCTGCACTCACCTGGCAGATCTTGTGACTGTTGAATGGCAGCACCACTATACAATTATTTTTAGTTCTGTGGACAGTAAATACAAGAGCGCAATGTTATCAAATAGATAAGCAAAATGATCAATTTGGATAAATTTTTTTTTTTGTAAATGAATGTGAATGAAATTCAGTTGTATTTATTATTATTGATTTTTAAGTGAAAATTTGTTACTAACTGTGTTTGGAAATTGAAATTGCTATATCATAATTTGGTATCAATAATGGTATCAATGGTATCAATCATTAATCTAAAGGTCTTTCATGCCAACACATAAATATATCACAAAAATGCAATCAATCAATCACTCAATCAATCAATCACTCAATCAATCAATCAATCAATCAATCAATCAAGGGTATGAGAAAATCTAATAAATAAAAACCTTATAATAAATAAATAAAAATAAATAAATAAAAAAACTTAATGTCCAAAGACTTTCCAAAAAGTCTTTACTCTTTTTTTGGTTTGTTTTGTTTATATAACACAATTTAATACAGTTAGTATTAAAGTGTTAAATATCTGATCAATATCAGTATAAAATCTTTAAAGATGTTTTAATAGTCTACACTTTTAAAACCTTGCATGCAGTAGCCTACTTTCTTGATAACAACCACGGCGTAATGTATCTAGGGGAGTTCCGTATCACTGTCCTCCTAGAAACTACATTGACCAATCACGCGGGAGACATGGCGCTGACGTCACACCATGAGGCTCCGCCCTCGCTCGAGACCCAATGATTTTTGTGTCAATTCCATGAACAAGGGAAACTGTGCACTCTGCACTGTCATTCATAAAGGATATACCGGCTTGGTAAATGGCGAAGACTTACGATTACCTTTTCAAACTCTTGCTAATAGGGGACAGTGGAGTGGGAAAGACATGTCTGCTGTTCAGATTCAGCGAGGACGCGTTTAACACCACCTTCATCTCCACAATCGGTTAGTTCACCGGTGATCTGGGTAGAAGGTATTGGACGGTGTCCCGTTATATGCAGGACAATAGTGGTCAGATACAGTAAAGCTTTAATAATTAAGTTTCTAGTTGCATTTGCATTGGTAAAGTGGGTTTAAAAAGCACCAGTTTTGTTTATTTTTATAAATCAT